ATGATATAGTAGGTCATGGATTAGACCAAAAAACCGACGAAGGCAAACTTACGTTAGCTACAATTGTTTTTAATACATTTGTAATGTTACAGATTTTTAATGAAATCAAGTATGTTGTTTTTTTTTCCCCAAAATGGGTTAAACAGTTCTTTAAATTTTATTTAACACCTACTCCTCTTATAATAGTTGTCGGAACCTTGATGAAAAGTTAAACGTGTTTAAAAATATCTTGTCGAATGGGTTTTTCATTATCATATTCATTATAACTGCTATAGGTCAATTTCTAATAATCCACTTTGGAGGGTCTGCATTTCAAACAACACCATTGAATATTATTCAATGGTTAACTTGCATTGGATTGGGTGGTTTATCACTACCTGTTGGTGTAATCATCCGATTACTTCCTATTGAAAAGTTGTTCTCGTATAAGCAATCGAAAGCACATACTATTCGTGATGATGAATCAGCAGTAACCAGCTGGCAAAAACAACTAAAGTTTTTCAAAGCACTTCGAGGTGGTGGACGTTTTAGATCACATTTTGGACCAGTTGCTAAAAATCAACAAGCATTTGCAGGTGTTGCGGTGGTACCGAGTTTAATGGTATCCGCGGTTGGTGTACCATTATCGACACGAGATAGAAGTCAAGAAAGAGATAATTCGAAAGTATCACAGAGATCAATACCAGGTCCAATACCAACGCCACGACAAGAAACTGATGAATCCAATAAAAGTTGAAAAATGATGTTAGTTAAGATGTGAAAATTTGAACGTTAGTTGATTATTAAAGATGTGGAAAGCTTGATCAGATGATAATTCCAATGCGCTAAAAAAATATAAATCTTTCAAAAAAAAAAAAAAAAATTATAATAATAATGAAAAAAAAACCACCTTTTATAGATTCATAAATAAAAATAATAAGTAATGCGTAATTTGCTTTTAAATAAATGGATTTAATTCATAGTCAATACTTTTCATAACGCGAGATGTTTTTAACGTTAACGAATTAAGTAGTAAATTATATTAGTAACTTTAAAGTAGCACCGTTAAGTAATATTAAGCGACAAAGTTAAGTATCAAGATTATGGAATTTAAGTCACATTTACAGTTTCTTGGCGAATTATTCCATAATAAGGTAATGGATTAAGACTTATATGATTGAATATCAATTTCTATTTAATTATACATAGTTCAAAATATTTTTTCAAATAAGAAAAAGAAGAAACACAGTATATAGAATTTTATCGGCTTTATTACGTACTATGATGATTAACACTTGATTAACATGGTATATAACAACTTGGTTTTATCTAAGTTATTGCTATATTCATTACAAAAATTTAAATATCTTAATACGTATGTACATAGTAACTATTTAGTGACTATATAATTACTGCATATTAAAATATGTATCTAATTTTTTTTTTCTGAAAAAGTAAAAATTGTATAAATAGATTGCCAATTACATCCTAACATGAATAAAATACGATTTTTTATTGTTGAATCTATAAACGATAAGCTTTTAATCTTTTAATATTTTTTATTCGTACGGTGAAATGATAATATGTTCGTTATATTATAATACTAAATATTGTATAAATAATTAAAATCTTTATCATTTATATACGTATAGTACAGTCGGACGTCTATAAATGCACACTCTAAATGAATGCTCTCTATGTAGATTCTCTCTAAATACATGGGCATAACTTTGTCCCGTCTGATAAGAGTTCTATACATTTTGCTCTCTATGCGCACTTCGATTTTTTTTTTTATTATGGTCCCAAGGGAGTGCATGTATAAATAATCGAATGCATGTTGGTGTTAGTAATCTTATTTATTAATGATAAACAACCCTTCATCCATAATGCAGGCAAATTTGAAAACTATATGGAGCTGATAACTTGTCAAATGTTAAAATACTGTACAGAAACCTGAATATCTTAATACGCCTATATGAAAAAAATCGACAAATCATGCATTAGAAAGGTGTTGTATTTAGGAGGTAAAAATCTATTATATGAATTGGAACCAAACAAGACCATGCATTTATGGAGGTTGCGTTTAGAAAAGACCTAGCTGCCACACCAATTTTGTCACGGCAGATTCTTGATTTTGATTGGATAACGGCCGTGATCTACAAAATGTTGGCTATTTACATAAATTTTGGCCGGAATTAACTTTTTACTTTTTTAATTCCAAAAATAGAAATTTTTAGAGAAATAAGACCACACGATGGTAAATATTAGCCTGGAACATTTTTCATTTAATGGGCGGCTGTGATTTCATTAGTAAAATTTTAACTTCGACCTAAATTTTTGATCGTCGCTCTTAGCCAATCAAAATCAAGAATCTGCCGTGCAATCATTTTTAGTAAATTTAGTTACGTACTACGTATGCATTAAGATACTTAACTATGATGTGGGGGTAATATTTCACCGATAATATTGTATAATATTTGAGGTAATAAATTGATACGTAACGATAATACTATAGAGGCATGCCATATTAAATTTTTGATCCGAATATTTCCATTATTTCTCCGTGACCTCCGTAAAAATTCAATGAAAATGATACATTACAGATATCCGTGTTAGGGAGATGTAAATTTCCATGATTTAAGGTTACGTATGAATAAACACGGATCAACATTTTTTATAGGGGTGGCTGAAACCCGTGTTGTTTCCGACAACATCCGAGAATCGTGTAACTGACTTTGAAACAAAATTATCTTAATAATCTCTTTAACTGCATATTTCGGAATAGACAAAAGGTCGCAGATATCCAAATGGATTAGGGCTTATGTTGTAAACAAGCTGTAACTAGGGTGGGTTGTGTTACAAAAATTACAATCTTTCAATACATGTAAAGTACTGGCTTTACAAAAGTTTGGCCTGCATTATTGTACTATTTCATTTTGAATGTATGATCCGAATTTAACTCCTCAAATCGCCGAAAATTTGATCGCAGAAGCCATACATCATAATCAAAAATTACAATTACATGAAAAACCAATTTACGAATCTTACGCAAAAATTACATAATTACGTAAAATTACGGTAATTTCACAAACCTAGTTGTAACAAGTTATTTATAAATTATTTATAAACAATAAGCCCAGAACCTATCTGAAACAATTAGAACATTCTGAAGAAATGAATTTTTAAGTTTATGATCGGTATGGTTGGTATGCGATTTATTAAACCTTTTTTTCTTTGTTTTTTAACGTTAATGGAGTTTTAGAAAGTTGTGCCCGGAAAAACCGAAAATCTCCGGTGGATTTTCGTTTTTTTTTTCATCAGTCTTATCTAGATTCAAGTACTGCAAAGGGAAGACCAACCGGGATAAAATCGCAATCCAAAAAATTTCATGCATATGATGCATATATAGCGATAACAAAGATTTTTCCGATTTTTAACTGCTGTCCTGCATTATCATGTCAGAATGTCCGACTGTATCAAGAGTACAAAATCCTGCATATATGATCCTAACATCTTTCATCCCTATAAAAAATGTTGATCCGTGTTTATTATTTCATTTTTCCATGAATGTTTCATTTTCATGGAATTTATAACCTTAAATCATGGAAATTTTCATCTCCCTAACACGGATATCTGTAAATGTATCATTTTCATGGAATTTTTACGGAGGCCACGGAGAAATAATGGAAATATTTGGATAAAATTTTTTTTAGGGCACGCATTGTCTTTACCAGCATCATCATCAAATTTCGTTGACCAGTGACAGTGGATGTGGTGCAAATTACATGACACGGACGTGAAAAAATATTATTGATTTATTTTATATCGATTTATACTAAGTTATATTGATTTGTGTATATTCTTCCTGACTGCGCAGTCACTCAGAATGTAAAATCAGATTAGGAATCTGCAAGTCTGGTATGTGCCATGCCTAACAAAAGGCATGGGCATGGGCACAGCAGATGCAAGTGCTCTGGCACAAAGTCATTGAGTTGTGTTGCCATTGGGCATCTGATATCTCACTGGACTTCCAAATTCTTTCGGCATTCCAGTGATTCCCACTGGAATAATACACTTATATTGAAAAACAGAAATACTTCGAAAAGTGGCATATGCCCTATCGGTCAGCGGACATGTTACAATGGCATATCCTTATTAATATCGATATTAGTTTTATCATCCTTATTAATAAATAAAATAAAATAATATCGATATTGTGAATCATAAATAAGTTATCATAGCTCTTTTTATACAGCTCTTGACATTTGTTAGAAGATGAAATTTTTTATACAAATGATATTCAGATATTCTCAATTATATATTGTCTACTTTACATTAATAAATAATGAACATCTGAGATGCTACATAAGTTTGGAAAATTTGCTATTGGATTAAGTTTTCTGTGTTCTGTGATCAATGAATAGCTTTAGATGGAATATATATATGTAACACACGTGAATTTCTGTTGTCAAATAAAAGTATAGTATCTTTTGCTATACTTTATAAAGAAATTTATGATTTACTGAAAAAAATTTTGATTCTTTAATATATGGGGGGGGTGTCAGTAGAAACCAGGCAAATTGTTTCTAAGTAAATTTTTTTCCAACTTTAAATTAAAATATTTCAACA